GCCACCACATTGAAGGACTGATGTGCGGCAAAATATTAGACTTTTATTTTTGGATTTAGATACACTTTAATTCCCTTTGCAGAAATTGGTTTTCAGTTTTAAATGAAAGAGTATATTTATGTTGATCAATGTTAAAATACATTATATATATCTACTGTAATTTAATGTTGTATGACAACAAAAATGTACCCAAGGGGTGAATACTTTTTATAGGAACCAAAAATAAAATGAAAAAGATATCACTGGTGCTTGTAACTATCAAACACGAAAAGTGCTGAATGTCTTATGTGGTTTAATGCAAATTCAAAGAATACAGATACAAACAAGGAATGTCTGTACTCCAAATCTAAGTACTTGATGGTCTTCCTTGAAAGAGCTATTTTCTTGCCAAGAACATGATAACCTTATCTTGAGGTAAAATTAAATCTGTACTCCATGACTGTCTGGTCAGGACAGATGCCAGCTCTTTGGAAGTACAATAGGAATAGTCAAATGTGTCGGGATGAAATTTCTGCTGTCTAAAGGCCCAAGCTAGCTGATACAGATCTCATTAACTGTCTAATTTCATCCCTCTGTTAATTGCTCTAAAAATCTAGAGGAGTTTTGGGTATTCCCAAAAGTTATTAGTGGCCAGTACAGGGGTCTATTCTGTAGAAGCCACCTCATCAATTACTGTATATAGACTGTGAACAATACAGTATTCACCAGCTATTTTAATTGATAGAAATAAAAACAATTTAAGATAATTCATTCTTTTTGTTTTTGTGCAGTAGAAATCAAATACACAGAGTAGAGCAGGGCTCAAAATTTCCACTCGCCCCCTCGCAATTGGCAAGTGAAATTGCGTGGGGGCGAGTGGAAATTCAGGGGGGGAACTGCTGCCGCTTCTACAGCGGTGATCGCCGCTTCAGCAGCGGCGATCGCCGTGTCAGTTCTCTCTCCTCCACGGTCACTGCCACTACAGAGCGGCTGAGGAAAAGAATCCGTTCGTCCTCCTCCCCCTGCCCCCTTTACTTACCTCTCTCCTCGTTGCTCCATCCTCCGTGCTCCGTCCTGCTCTGTGATAACCAGTGAGAGGGGAGAGCCATCTTCCCCCCTCACCTGTCACAGACTTTCTAGCACAGTGCTGTGCTAGAACTCCTGTATTGGAGGTGACAGGTTCAATAAAGAGAACCTGTCACCTCCAAATGCTATCACACAGGGGATTGTTAGCTCCTGTGTGATAGCGATAGAGTTAAGTGAACAAAAATTGTTACAAAAATAATTAAATAAATACAATTTTAAAAAATAAATAAAAAATAATGATTACATTTACATAAAAAGGTGATTCAAAAGTTTTAAAAAATCACGGTCCACTTGCCATGATAACCAGTTGATTGGCAGGCTCCTTCCCTACAGGGACCCGGACTCCACTGCATAGAAGCAGGACAGGAGCCTGCCAATCAGCTCGTTACTATTCCCTGGGTCATATTTGACGGGCGTGCAGGGACGATGAGGGCATGCTGGAACTTGTAGTTCAATTACGACATGTCCAAGCATGCTCTCGTTGTACCTGTATACCCCCACATATCACGGGTGTCGCAAAAGCAGGTCTCTGTACTGTGCATCACACCGCAGGTCTCTGTACTGTGCATCACACCGCAGGTCTCTGTACTGTGCATCACACCGCAGGTCTCTGTACTGTGCATCACACCGCAGGTCTCTACTGTGCATCACACCGCCGGTCTCTGTAAGGTGCATCACACCGCCGGTCTCTGTACTGTGCATCACACCGCAGTTCTCTGTACTGTGCATCACACCGCAGGTCTCTGTACTGTGCATCATACCGCAGGTCTCTGTAATGTGCATCACACCGCAGGTCTCTGTACTGTGCATCACACCGCCGGTCACTGTAATGTGCATCACACCGCCGGTCTCTGTAATGTGCATCACACCGCCGGTCTCTGTAATGTGCATCACACCGCAGGTCTCTGTACTGTGCATCACACCGCAGGTCTCTGTAATGTGCATCACACCGCAGGTCTCTGTAATGTGCATCATACCGCAGGTCTCTGTAATGTGCATCACACCGCAGGTCTCTGTACTGTGCATCACACCGCAGGTCTCTGTACTGTGCATCACACCGCAGGTCTCTGTACTGTGCATCACACCGCAGGTCTCTGTACTGTGCATCACACCGCAGGTCTCTGTACTGTGCATCACACCGCAGGTCTCTGTACTGTGCATCACACCGCAGGTCTCTGTACTGTGCATCACACCGCAGGTCTCTGTACTGTGCATCACACCGCAGGTCTCTGTACTGTGCATCACACCGCAGGTCTCTGTACTGTGCATCACACCGCAGGTCTCTGTACTGTGCATCACACCGCAGGTCTCTGTACTGTGCATCACACCGCAGGTCTCTGTACTGTGCATCACACCGCAGGTCTCTGTACTGTGCATCACACCGCAGGTCTCTGTACTGTGCATCACACCGCAGGTCTCTGTACTGTGCATCACACCGCAGGTCTCTGTACTGTGCATCACACCGCAGGTCTCTGTACTGTGCATCACACCGCCGGTCTCTGTAATGTGCATCACACCGCCGGTCTCTGTAATGTGCATCACACCGCCGGTCTCTGTAATGTGCATCACACCGCCGGTCTCTGTAATGTGCATCACACCGCCGGTCTCTGTAATGTGCATCACACCGCCGGTCTCTGTAATGTGCATCACACCGCCGGTCTCTGTAATGTGCATCACACCGCCGGTCTCTGTAATGTGCATCACACCGCCGGTCTCTGTAATGTGCATCACACCGCCGGTCTCTGTACTGTGCATCACACCGCAGGTCTCCGTACTTGGCATTGTTACTGATCTCTGTACTCTGCGTCACACCGCTGACCTGACGGAGTTAAGGCCGGGGAAGGGTAGGGGTTGGTGGGACAACTTGTGGCGTGTAACTATTAAGGCCTGGCTAGTAACTTAGGACTTGAAATTTTGAGACCTGGAGTAGTGGATCATCATTTCAAAAGTGATAGGGAAAGCAGAGAGTACAAATGGGAAAACACAAGTAACAGTAATTAAAGAAAAGTCTGTTTAGTTATTTAACAAAACTGTATCTCGGCTATATGTCCATTGTCTAACTAAGGAAAAAGCTGGATGTAATTTCAGAGGTCTGATCACAGTAGGGCTACAACCAACTAATCGATTAATCAATAGAAAGAATAGTTGTCAACTATTCTCATTATCGATTAGTTGATTGAATCCCCTAGCTCCCTCCTCCACGCTGGGAGCAGGGCACAACAAGCAGTGGGCCTGCTATTGGCAGCCTGCTATTGGCTATTGCAATTTGAAATGGCCAATAGCAGGCTGGCTATTGCACCAGCCCACTATCTGCTGTATTTACATTCAGCTGCTAACTGCGGAATCTTGCCACTGGCAGCTGTCATTCCCTGGCTGAAGCTATTCAAGTGCCATATGCTCACAATACAATTATTAAAAAAGAAATTATAGAAGGTGGGAAAAAAGTAATTTTCTGTTTCGGAGGTGCGTTGCAGTGCCATTCATTTCAATGGTACCCCAAGCATGCCTCCCACCCAGAGTGTGATTGCCCACACTGGAATGTACAGTACCGCAATGCCGTGCATTCCAGTGCAGGGCGATTTAAAAAAAAATTGTGCAAGCAGTTTTATTTTGAAGTAAACCTTATGTTTGTAACACTGCAATGTGTATTTTTTTTTAAATTAAGGGTGGTATTTATTTCATTTTATTTATCTGATTAATTGAACAAATAATAGGCCAACTAATCGATTATGGAAATAATCATTAGGTGCAGCCCTAGATCACAGGAAAGCAAACAATTTCAGAAGAACTGTCCACACACATCATTACATATCTATTACTCAATCCACAACATCATTAGAAGTACCCCTAGGGGTAGCTATAGGAAAGACTTTGATAGACTTCATTCACAGCTTGTTCCCATGACAAATACAATAATATTGTATTCATTGCTCATAAGGTGGGGGAAGGATCAGCTAAGGCAAAGTAGGTAGAAAGAAACTACATGTGCTACGAATACAGGGTTGTTTGGGGTGCCACATCAGAATCAGTTGGCGTACCCCTCAAAATGGCCTGAGAAAAACACAGACAGTCAAGAGATTCAGTTTATTAGACAATAAACTGAATTCTGTTTATTAGACAAAACATCATAATGGGAAAGCATACTGGAGGCATCCAGTTATCTTTTTGGCTCATAGCCTTAAGCAGACATCCCAACTCTCCTGGATGTTCCGGGAGTCTGCCGCTATTAGATAGCGGCTCCTGGACACCCAAGAGAGAAACATTTTCTCCCTGAAAGGGTTACTCTGCTTCATCTTGCAGAGTAAACCTTTCTTTGCTCTGGTTTTTTTTTTCCCCTCGATCTGGGCCGCCGGCCGTCACAAGAGAAAAAAAATGGCATTGGAACGAATATCTAGATTGCTATTGGCTATTGCAAATTGAAATAGCCAATAGCAGACTAGCTATTGCACCTGCCCACTGCTGCTGTCAATCAGAAGAGGTGGACCTGAGTTCTCCATCAGGTCCTCCTTTACTGACTGACAGCAGCAGAGGGTGGGTGCAATAGCCAGCTTGCTATTGGCTACTGCAAAATGAACTAGCCAATAGCAATCTAGCTATTCATTCCTATACTGTTTTGTTTTTTTATTTAATTCTGACAACAGCAGCTGTCAGAATACTAAAACAACAGGAGATAGCAAGGGAAGCATTAGCTTCTTTGCTATCGGCCATAATTTCAGGGGGGTGCTCTCTTCCTTGTTGTTGCTGGGTGACAGAAGGCACCTCCCTGAAATGAGAAGGGCACCTCCCTGAAATTACTTATTTCAGGTTGGGATCCCTGCCTTAAGCGGCTTTTCTATATAGATATCATACCTTTTGACATATACTAGTGCATTTACTTTGATCTTTAGGTATGTACAAAGTAACATAAGATTTAAACAAAACTATGCAATGCAAACCTTTCTGATCCATCCTTCATCCCGACTTTTGCATAAAGGACATCCACCATTGCTGGGTCATCATTCATGTATTCAATTCCAGACATTTTCACTTGCATTGGTTTTCCAGCTGCAATTTTACTGTAAAATGTAATGTCAGAATAAAGCTGATGGCAGTATAACAGGTAGAAGCTTGAAAAACAAATGACATAATCATGTTTCACTAATACATAAACACTGGCAGAAACTGAATTAACAACACCTATATGCAGCTGATTGATGATAAACAAACAATTTTTTTTAAATAATTACAGATTGTGCCTAGGATAAATGATTACACTTTGAATAGATTTGAGACAAGCAGATTCAATAAAAGTCAGTAAGAAATGAGACCTTCATTTTCAGCAGAACATTCATTTGCCCAAAGCAATGGAAGAAAGGTTTGATTGATTCTTCAGAAATGTTATTCAAGACTGTATCAACTGGGCAGTCAGTTATTCAACATATCAAGCTTGATATTCATTCACAATAATGCTGATCGTCTACTTGTTTGAATGGGGACAAATCAGGTTCTTCTGCAGATTAGTTTTCTTATACTAAATGTCTCTAAGTTTCTGTAGCTAAAATTATTTTTTAAATTGTGTTAATCATTGGTATGACAACAACATTTAATCCACCCACATACTCTGACTTTCATAGTGGCCTCACTTATTCACAAAGCTGCCGAGGCAGCCGAAGTGAAGTCATCCGAACAACGTTCGGCTATTCACTCCGGCTCAGTACAGCTGATTTCAGCCGTACATCGGCAGAAATCAGCCGTACAATGGCTGCACTTCGGTCAGCCGAACATGCTCTGCAGAAGGACATCTGGATCGGCTGAGATTAAACTTCGGCAGCAAACGGCAGTGAGTGAATAGCCGAATGCCACCGAGCATCCGGCTATACCTCTGTGGTACCGAGCAGAATAGAAAATCAATGAAAAGAGTTTAAAAAAAAGGTTGACAAAAATATTTTTAGAACGTAAATAAATAGTACAATTAAAAAATAATAGATTTTTAAAAATAATAATAATTGGGCGGAGCAAGTAGAGACAGATAGCTCCTGGTCATGACGTCACGGCAGACTCCGCCCAGTTGTTGTTTAATGACAGATTAGCGTCCCCAGGTCATTTGGGGACGCTGATTTGTCATTACAACTGGGCGGAGCCAGCCGTTAGATCACGGCTGGCTCTGCCCAGCTGTCATTGGCAGGGCTCATGGCTGGCCTTCGGCAGGCTGTTTGCCCCGCTTCGGGTGTCACTATGCCTTCGGCTTGCGCTGCTGTATGGGCTGTAGTGAATAGGTAATTAATAAAAAGAGTTTGAGGCAAGTTCTATCTAAACTGGTGCAGCTGCACGTAGCAACCAACCAGTTTTATCTTTTATTTTTTTTCCACATGGCTTAGAAAACAAAGAATTAAAAGCTGATAGGCTGACCTCCAGCTGAGGCAAATTCATATCTGATGGTCCTCTCTGAGGCAATGGCTATCAAAGTCAAAAATATAAAGTATATTCACTAAATTATTTCCTATTAACATCAATAAGTTTCTATAATAAAAAACATTTTCAGCATAAGCCTAAAAGTGAACTAGCAAAACGTGTTTCTAGCTGACATGAGTATGCAAGATTGCAAAAGTATCTCCTCATCAGCACTTCTCACTAGTTAATCAAAGGACTATTTGGTAAAATTTGTTAAGGATAATGGCATAGTTAATGACAATCAGCATGGGTTCAGGAAAGACCGTTCCTGCCTGACTAACTTGCTAACTTTTTATGAGGGGGTAAGTAGAGATATGGATGAAGGGAAGCCGGTAGATGTGGTATATCTGGATTTCTCAAAGGCATTTGATACGGTACCACACAAACGCTTAATACACAAGCTGAGAGCTATGGGCATAGATGAAGTGGTGTACGTGGATAGAGAACTGGCTACGGGAACGCGCCCATAGAGTATCTATTAATGGCACCTTTTCAGACTGGGCTAGTGTAATGAGCGGTGTGCCTCAAGGATCTGTGCTGGGTCCCATATTGTTCAACCTATTTATTAATGATATCGGGGAGGGAGTAAATAGCCATGTTTCTGTGTTTGCAGACGATACAAAAATAGGGAGGGTATTAGAAACGGATTGTGACAATATAACATTACAGGAGGACCTGGACAAAATAGGGGAGTGGGCAATAATATGGCAGATGAGGTTTAATGTCGATAAATGCAAAGTAATGCACTTTGGAAATAAAAATAAACAAATGGGCTATACCATCATGGGTATGCCACTAGGGTCAGAAATAGAAAAAGATTTGGGGGTCATTGTAGACCACAAACTGAATGGTAGCTTGCAGTGCCAGGCTGCTGTAAACAAAGCGAGCAGGGTCTTGTCCTATATTAAGAAGGGGATGTATTGCAGAGACAAGTCTATAATTGTGCCACTTTATAGATCATTGGTTCGGCCTCATCTGGAGTACGCGGTCCAGTTTTGGTCGCCGGTACTAAGAAGGGATGTCCTTGAGCTGGAGAGAGTCCAGCGGAGGGCAACCAAACTAATTAGGGTAATGGAGGACCAGAGCTATGAGACAAGGCTACTGAATTTAAACATGTTCACATTGGAAGTAAGGAGATTAAGGGGGGGTATGATTTTCATGTACAAGATGTTCAATGGTGACAGCAACATTGGCAACAAACTCTTGAAGTCGAACTCCATTACATAGACTAGAGGCCACCACCTAAAATTGGTGGAGAAAAAATTCCAGCACAAGGGGCGAAGGGGGCTCTTCACAGTAAGAGCGGTTAGGGTCTGGAACTCACTGCCACCGGCAGTGATTTCAGCTAAGAGTGTGGAATTGTTCAAGAAACTTTTTGGACGTAATATTCAGGGATACAAGTATTCCTAAGAATGAGTTGAGTGTGGACCTATATGGGTTGGACTTGATGGACGTATGTCTTTATTCAACCCCAAATACTATGTAACTATGTAAAACACATAACTTAATATGGCTCTGTCTCTCCATCCTTTGGGATGTTAGGAGTAAACTCTAGTAGAATGCAATGTAGTTTCCTACAAATCAAAGATAATTGTCCAGTATACCCATGCCCCCACATCATGTGATTCACTGTGTGCACTAGTTTGGTCTCCCAGGTAAACATAGCATTAAGACAAAAAATCAAAGCCCAAGAAAGATATTGACATTGACTTGCAATATGAGGACAGATGTGATCTTGGCTAAAGTTATCCTTCATTAATGGCAGCCTAACAAACCTTCAGTCTTCATGTTCTGCTGTCCTTTCAGCCAGACCTCATTTCTATTAGCCTGTCTCTATCACTTACTACAGAAGGAAATAAATGATCTATGGCTTCCTCCCAATCTCCCTTGTCAAGTTATGGGATGACAAGTCTCCAGAAACTGTGCACTTTATCTTCAAAGGAGGAAAGAGTTTCTCAAATCAATGAGTATAAAGTAAATATAAGGTAATATGGAGATGCCAGAATAAAGGATGGTGAGGTAAGATTGCCACATGTTCAATTGTCCAAAGGAAACAAATTCTCTCTGAATTAAAGTCTTCGCAACGTAAATCCCTCATTGGTGCCAAAATTCAAAATTGGACAGAATCTAAAGTCAAGATCATTACTATTATTATATAAAGGAATATAACTTAACCAAATGTTTACAACTGAACCCAACCCATACAGTTAAACCTTAAACACTCAAAGAGCCATTTGGACCCGTTTCCCACAGAAAAGAAAACACCAGGAGCCACAAAACCCCTTTGACATCTAAAATGAAGATAACACGGCATATATATCGTTTTTCACCTTCATGCAATGTATAGCATGTATATAGGTATATGTGGGCTCAGTAACGCACTGGACTCTGGGCTTAGTAACGCACTGGACTCTGGGCTTACCCGAGACCCTGCAGAGCTCACCTGAGAGTGACCCTGCAGAGCGCACCATAGATCCTGCACAGCCCATCTGAGACTCTCTGTGGTGGGCTCTGCAGGGCCTCAGGTGGGCTGGTCGCCGGGGTCCCTTTCCCTGTATCTCCTCCAAACCCCTCTGACCTGCTGCTGCTGGGGCATGGCATGGCATTCCAATGCTTTCTCAGCTGTTCCAGGGCAGATCGGCATCGCAAATCGTATGTGCAGGAGAACTGATCTGCCCTGGAACAGCTGATCAGTCCTGAAATGTCACTTCTGTCCGACTCTGAGTGCGATCTCACATTCCACCCACTCACAAAGTCAGATAGAAGTGACATTTCAGGACCTGCCCCCTTGCTGAGAAGCCTGTCGCCAGTGCGGGGCCTCGAGACCCTGCACTGCCACATATTCCGCCCTGACCCCTGCATTAGACAAATAGTCAAAGTTATACATTAGTTAATCTATATGACACACTGCGGTTCAGATTTAAAACAGGTCAACATATCATCTACTTGTGTATAATGCGGAATAGGGATGAACCTCAAATGCCCTTGTTTGAAAATAAAAAAGGCTAATATGGTTTCATCTATGAGGTGGTAACTGTTTATAAATTGCCATGACAGCATTTTTTCAAAGTAGCAATGAACTAGGGGTTAATTTTGCGATATATGTGATGCAAAGAGACTATAAAGTGTAATGTCCAATTATATGAAACCTTACAGTAATATGCCATTACCATAAAAAGACTGAAGGTCGTAAGTGGATAGCTTTTAACTCGCTAGAGACAAAACTTCAAGGTGACTTTTTGTATCTCTACTATATACTGGATATAACTGATGTTAGTATTCCTTTCAAACACTGAAGCAATAGTATTACAGAGAACAGGTTGACAGAATCACAGAGCACCAGAGAAAGTCCTTTGCAATTTGATGTCACGGATATAATAAAAGATAATTCACTCACTCCAGAAATTCCTCTTTGCACTTTTGTAACAGCTGGCTTGCCTGCTCCACTTCATTTTCATTCAGCAAAACTAGGGTCCCTATTGTCAAGTGGAGTTTTGATGGGTTCTGGAAAATGGTGCCTTCCACCCCATGATCCTGTGCAAAAAAAAATCAAAACAAAACAGAAATCGTAATGCGCCATTAAGTATTATAAACAGGGTAACAGATTTGTTCTGTAAGTAAAACAAACTTAAACACTGGTCAATATCTGCAACTATCTAATGCTCATTGGATTTTATCTGTACACATTCCCGCCACGTTCACACTGGCAATGTCTCTCCTGCAGACAGCACAGGCCCAGAGATTCCTGTTTTGAAAATGTTCCAAGGAAAATAAAAATCCTTATTTAACTGGATATGCCTCTGTCCGGCTGCAGTTTACATAACATTGCCTAATGGAGATTCATTAGTGAAATGCAAGGATGTCTGCAGAGCATACTGAGGGGAATCAATACTGGAGCAGACAGAATGTGGAGCAGCTGTGCATGACAACCAATCAGTTTCTCTCTTTTATTTTCAAAGCTTAACTGAACAAGCTAAAGATAGGAGCTGATTGGTTACGATGGACAACTGCTCCAGTTTTGATCAATTACCTCCCACTGTATTTTATAGTTGCATGCAATACCTGATTCCAACAACGCATGAAACTGCAAGTGAAATGTTTATATGCAACGTTATCTTGTAAGGAAACCCAAGAGCTGCATGCTGATGTGATTTTTAGTTAAAGGTTGTAAAGATTCACTTTGATAGCCTCCTGCAATTCTCTGTATTGCAGTGTTCTGACAGAGAGAGATGTAAGCAGTCCTGTCAGATAATCATGACTCTATTTACTCTATTTATTGCAAATGCTGGCAACCTAACTCTGCTCTGCTTTCCTTGAGAACAAGATCACAGGGGGCAGCACAGTCTCCATGCCCTGTCCACCTTCCGGCTTGCAGGAGGGTGGCACCATAGGACCACGCAGGGGACGGAACCACCCTAAAATTGGATATCAGGGCTCAAATTAAAATGTATAAACATCAAGGGGCAGCATAATGTGTAAGTCATTTAAACAGCATTGGCATGTTACAAGTAATTTAAACCTGCAAATCAAATTTATTTGAAGGGGGCCCACAAACATTTTTGTAAACAATGTGTACTGTCCCTTTAAGAAAAAACCAGGCATGGGACCCCATCAACATCCATACCAGGCTGTAATTAATGCAGCCTGGATGGTCAGGAAAGGGGAGGCAGTGATCATGCGACCCCTCTTCCCGAGGGGTCACATTGTTTTGCTATACCAGTCCACATGGCTGCAACATTGGGAGGTTACCTTGCTTTGCATCCCTACCCTTACTCACTTACGCACCTTATCCCCAATGCTGATGCAGGCAAAGGCTTGAGTCCCGTTGACCCCCACAACCCTGGCCCAGTAGAGGTGACTTATTAAAAAGGGGGCCCCCAGATATCTGGCCCTCCCCCCTCATGAATGAGTAAGGGGTACATAGTAATGTGAATTAGTAAATAAAAGCAAAGACACCATAGAAAAAAAAATTAAAAAAAAAAAAAAAAAAAAAA